AAATCTGATGGGCTCCTCCTCCATGTTCGGACCTTCAGTGGCTTCTCATCTTCCATAAGTTCAGTTCAGATCCTGAGCAAGGCTTATAGGACCTCCAGCCCACTCCCCAGACTCATCTCCGCTTCCCCTTGCTCTGTGGCCTTTTCCCAAGCCTTGGACGTGCCACGGCCCCCTCCTCTTGTCCTTCCCCAGCTGGGTGGGGCCTATGCCCACCTGGGGCTCCTCCTTCCCATGTGGATGAAGGACTAAGTAAATCAATGAATGAGGAAGTCAGAAGCTGCCTATACTCTGTGGACTAGCATCATGTGGAAATAAAGCTGAAATTCTAAGATGGCATTTTTTCCCAAATGTTCAGCACATTTCCTACCTAGCCAGGCACGATCTGACACCTCCTTAATCTCTGGAAGGGTAAATTCTGACAAATCAGCCTTGAAATCTGCCGTTGGACTGGCACCAGCCCACCGGGAACTGGTCCTTCTGCACCATCCTACACGTCTCCTCCTTGCTGTCCTTTGCTACCTACTCTGCTTTCAACAACACTGGGATATTAAAACTCAAGAAAATACACGAATAAAGAGGCTTATGGCCAAGACAAAAACAAACAAAAAATGGGACAGCAATTAGCAATGGAGCTGCCGATAACCAAAAGTGAAAAGAAGACCAAGCCTGGGAAGTAGGAGTTAGGCGGACAATTTAGGAAGAGACCTTCTGGGCAAGACTTTCCTCTGGGAGGAAAACAGCTAAAAATACTGACATCCCAAAGTCAGTAAAACTCAGAAGGGAAATGGGAACAACAACAAAAAAATGACTGAAAGAGCAGGCTTTAGGGTCAGAGCTGGGCTGACCCTATCTCACCTTGGGCAAGCTTTTTTTATTCTCTTTACTCATCTTTCCCATTAGTTACTATGTCTGGGACATGGTAGTCTCTCAGTAAATGCCAGCTGTTCATATTGCTAATGTTGAGTATATAGTGAGGGCAGGGGATAGGGGAAAGACAAACCAGCAAAACTAGGGTGTGAAAGCAGAAATGACTTCACCAGTGAGGCTGCAGGAGGCCTTGCCCTGGGCTGCACACCCCAGTCCTTGTCTCACAAAGCGGTCCTTCCCAGCAGCTGCAATGGCATCACCCGGGAGCTCACTAGAAATACAGATTCAGGCCCTATCAGGCCCCTATGTTTTAACAGGAGCATCAGGTGATTTATCTGCAACTGAGCATTTAGAGATGAGGCTGCCCTAGGTCCTATTGGCTTGTTGGCAAGAACCAGTTACAGTCAGGCAATGGCTATAGCCTGTTGAAATTTGGAGGTAGAAGTGCTTTGTTAGAAAACCAAGGAGACCCTTAACTGAGGCTGCCGGTCAGTGGTGTGGTGGAATTGGGTAACTACTCTTAGATCAGAGGGGAGGAATTTGGTGGAAGACTTATCAGGGGATGACCTAAGGCAGTACCAGCTGCCTATCAGGTGGGCTTGTGTGGCACTGAATGCCAAAAGCCATGAGTAAAAGGGCACTGCAAATTATGTAGTAGAGGGGTGACCACCAAGGTCTGAGAAAGTAGGAAAGTAGGACCGGGGAAGAACTGGTCTCTAAGACTATCTCCGTTCATGCTCCCATGCAGGCTATGTGCCCAACCCACACCTACCAAGAGCACCCCCATTGGTTCAGTGGGACCCTCTGAGCAGGTTCTCCCTTCCCCTCATAACTTCAAGTCCAAAGAGCGTGACTGGTGGACAGGCAGCATAGACATAGGGAGATCCAGGAGTCTCTCTAGGAAGGTTTGTATCACTTTCCACGTATCCCTTTAGGCTTAAACACAGCCTGCATTACTATTCAGTTTCTAGAAAGGCAAAGTAAACATTACTCTAAAACTGAAAGGATCCATGAAGATTAACTTACCAAAAATAAATCCCACTGGACTAGATACTTCTGTTCATCCAAGCAACATTTACTAAGCACCCATGTACTGGGCCTGGAGGTCTAGGTGCTGGGAATTCAAAGTCCAGGCCCCTGACCAGGGTATAAGTACCCCATCTGCAGCCACCTGAAGAAGTTCAGGCACTTCTCTTCATGCCTACAAATAGCCTCCATCCTTCTTTTTTCTGCTTTTGAGTTCATGGTCATCTTTTCCTAATGTTCTTTTCAAAGAGTACAACATTTTAGTGAGTGACAAATTTGTCTCTGGAGGAAAGCAAGTATTCTAAATAATTCCTTCCTTTGTGTCCCTCCACCCATCCCCTCTAATCACTTCCTCTTCACCATGTATTCTGCCTCTCTAAACCTCTCTTGCATCCTGTGACATGCTGAACAAGTCTCTGACTGTCCTGTGAGAGCCACTTATTAAATTTTTAAGAATTTTACAAACTGGTTGTTAAACAGAGACATTACAAAAAAATTAAATTATAGAAGCCTCTAATTAAATAAGTTATATTAACAGTATACTCAAAACTCACCATTCTTTAATTATTATATTTTACTGCATTTTATTGTGGTCTATGCTCTTGAACCTATTTAAATCAAATGCATTTCTATGATAGAAGGATCACATAATGATGCGCTAGCACACATCACCTCCAAGTTCTTGTTCGATGACATCACATTGGTAGCTTGTGATTGGCCATAGTATTTACACCACACAAATTTGGGCTTGGTTTGTTGGGGCTTTTTTATTATCTATGCTAAGAAAATGATGGAGAAAAGATTAATGCAGATTAAACCAGAAGTGTGTCGTGTCTGTAGTTATTACACTGTGAATAACATAAGAATTGAAAAAATATTCTTCCAGATTTAAAAGCTATTATCTGATTCAGCAGTCATTCTTGTCATTGACAAATGAGTCAAGTTAAGACAGTCACCTTCATTGTTTCACTTTCTCTTACTTGTCATTGCCAATGTAGTCAAAAATATCAACCAACATTCATGGTGGAACTACACGCGTTGGTCAATTGCAGACATAAGCTTATGCTTACCTAGGGTTCAAGAGTTCAGCAAAGATCAATGAGTTTATTCTGTGAGAATCAATGGGCAGTTTGGAATTTGCAATAGAGAGCAGTTTATATTTTATCACTTGTAAATTGTACAATTTATATCCTTTATGCAATCAAATTTATAATGAACTTTATGCATTGATGTAGATGTGTGTCTTTTTTTTTTTTTTTCCACAGTTCTGGCAGCACCCAGAGTCCTCTCTTCTCTGCATTCCCCCTATTATTTCAGGTTTCATTCCCTCCTATCCCATACGGAATTTCTAATACCTAAGTGCAATCATAGTGCACCCCTCATTAAATTACCAGTAGCTATAGCCAGGCATTGTGACAGGCACCTGTAGTCCCAGCTACTGGAGAGGCTGAGGCAAGAGAATCACCTAAGCCCAGGAGTTGGAGGTTGTGTGCCACAGCATTCTACCAAGGTCGATGAAGTGAGACTCTGTCTTTAAAAATAAAAAAATTACCAGTAGCTCAGGAATCCTTCTAAATGAAATCCAAGCCATCGAAGGCCTTCCTTGCTCCTCCCTGTTCACCTCTGCAGCCTCCTTTCTTATCAGATGCCCACATTCATGCTTCACTAAAATTAGGCCAACTGCCTGCTGTTCCCAGACTATTGCTTTACTTATTCATGCCTCTGGGTCTTTGCACATGCTTTTCTCTCTTTGGGATGCCTTTCCTCAACTACCTTCCCACCCCACCTCCTGCCAGTTCCCACAAGGCATTAAAACCAAGCTCGAGCATCACCTCTCCCAGAAGCCAGTGCTACCTCCATTTCAGCACTTGCCATCAGTGCAAGTTGTCACATAGGTCTGCCTTTCCAGGTCTCCCTATCTCAAACCAGAAGATCTTCTGGGCAGTGAGCAATGTCCTCACAACATCTAGCACTTGGCTTGACATCAGGCGATACCTAGTAAGTTCCTGTTAAGTTAGTAAGCTATTTAATTGATTTCAGCTATAGCCTACAGCAAAGCACAGGATTTAGCCAGGAGAAATATACACATCTCATCTCTGAATTCTTTTTTTTGACAGAGTCTTATTTTGTCACCCTCAGTATGCCAGGGCATCACAGCTCATAGCAACTTCAAACTCTTGGGCTCAAGTGATCCTCTTGCCTCAGTCTCCCAAGCAGCTAGGACTACAGGTGCCTGCCACAACAACCAGCCATTTTCAGAGATGGGGTCTCACAATCCAACTGCCTCAACCTCCCAGAATGCTAAGATTACAGACATGAGCCACCACTCATGGCCTATCTCTGAGTTCACGTGCTGCTTACCTACTGGGTACACTATTCAGGACTTGGGTATACTAAAAGCCCAGGCTTTACCACAATGCAATATATCCTTCTAACAAAACTCCACTTGCACTCCCTGTATCTATTGAAACTTAAAAGCAGTTGTTCAGACTGTTGGAACAGTTGCCTTTAAGTATACATATAAAACCAGGCGAATCATTGCCTTTAAAAAAAGCTTTCCATGGTTTTCTGGAAGTCAACAAGACATTGTCTTAAACCACTGATGTTCTTTAAGCAATCACTAGGATACTCATTTCTGAAAGGTAGTGACAGCCATCATTTACTGGGCTGCTCTTATGCTCTAAGCACGTGGTAGGTGCCTTGCACATGTCGCCCCATGTGTCCTCAACAATGCCATAACCCCTGTTTAATATCCCCACTTTACAGATAATGAAATTGAGCCTCAAGAAAGTTAAAATATTTGTTTTAATTTTCACAGATGCTGAATACCAAAGCAGTGATTCAAGCAAGGATTGATCTGATTCTAAACCCCCCACTTTCATTAATACAAATCATCCTTCGTTGCTTAAAAAACAAACACCATATGCATCAGGCCTAACCAATGGCCTGGAGTAAATAACACCCCAAATAATATTAATACAAAGGTTATTAATTCAAGGCCTATTTCAGCCACAGTATCCTTCCTCTCGATCCCCAGACCCAGTAAAAGGTTTGCCCTTTCCCCAGCCCGGATTTATAGGAGAAAAGTGAATGATGCCAAAAAGTACCTGTGTCCTTTGTCAAAGGCTGCATCTGAAAGCCTCCACGACCCCGTCTAGGAAGTCATCATGGAACAACTTCCCAACCATGAGCAGGGATCTCTTGCAAGCCTGTCTGCTAAGCTGCCACCAGAGCCGTTGCTGGTATCTTTGTTTACTGTTTGTCACTAAGCACTCGCTGCCCAGCAAGTGAGTCAACAAGGCCCCTTCCCTTTCCTGCCGCCAATCTCATTCCCTGGGCCTGTTGCAGTCTCTGGCCTGTTAGCAGCCGGCGTCCTCAAAGCCAGTGACCCGTGAGAGAGCCAGTGAGAGCTCAACTGGATTAGGTGCCACTGGAGGCAATGGGATTGCAGCTAAGCAGGGCTTTTACACTGATGTCTCTTTATCCTTTGGACCAATCAAAAGAAAAAGCCCTGCAAGGAACTGGGGGCCAGCCCCACAACCAAGGCTTAGTTTCATCAGCTCAGCCACCCTTCATGCCCTTTAACAGTATCAGACTTTGCAGGGGCACCCGATGGGACAGAGAACATGTAAGAGAGGAATGAGAAAAGGATGGCCTGGATCTGCCCGTGGGAAGTCAAGAGAATGTGACTGGGGACAGGGGAAGAGAAGTCCTCACACTCTGTGGTACTTGGTTCAGAAAGGAATCAGCGGAGGTGAGGAGAAGAAGAACAGCAAGAAACACATCACAGCTCTGTAAACGTGGGCTTGAAAGAGTAGATCTTTTTGAGCCCCTTAAACCAATAGCCCTGTCAAAACTGAGAAGCATTTCTTTAAAAAGAAAATATGAATTTTTCCTTGACTGAAAAATAAAATAATACAGTTCGATGGCCCCCAGTGCCGGTGAGGGCATGGTGAACGAGCACTCTCACAGGCCAGCAGTTGGGGGGCAGACCGGTGCAAACTCATTGCAGGGAACCTGGTAAGATTCATTAATTCATAAATGCACGTATCCTTTATAAATCTAACTGCCAGGAAGTAACTCCATGGAACATTCTTGCCAAAGTTCACCCACGCATCTAAAAAAGGATGGGCATTGCAGTACAAGTTTGTAATAGCAAAAAATGAAAAGCCACTAAAGCATGCATCTATTGTTATATAAATACATGTGCGGCTCACACATAGTGGAAAACCCACCACATAGCTGTGCAGAGGAAGGACGTAGATCCGTGTGAGCTGATGTTCACAACTGCCAAGAACATGCTTTTCAAAACAAAAGATTTAGAATAGCCCCATATGATTCTTTTTATTGCAAAAAGCTATATAAAAACCAGGTATGTATGTATTCTTTATCTGAAAGACATCACAAGAAACTTAGTAATGGTTGCTTTGGGGAGACTGTTTTGCATCATTAATTAGGGAAATTACTATTCATGTTGTTGTTTTTCCCCCTCCACCCTAGTGTTATACTGCTTTCAAAAAAATACCTAGAAAACAAGATGTTTTCCTCCTTCCCTGCCACTGCCGAGTATTGCAGAGGTGGAGGCCAGGGTGGATTCAGCTTCACCTGTAACCCACCGCCATGGCCAAGGAAGGCGTTGCTGTTGGAGCTGGAATGGACATCAACGCTGCTTTACAAGAGGCTCTGAAGACTGCCCTCGTCCATGACAGATGGCTTTGCGTGTAGAATCTGTGAAGTTGCCAAATCCTTGGATAAGCGCCAGCCCCATCTTGGTGTGCTTGCATCCAGCTGTGATGAGCCTGTGTATGTCAAGTTGCTGGACATCCTTTGTGCTGAACACAAGATCAACCTGATGAAGGTTGATGACAATAAGAAACTAGGCGAATGGGCAGGGCTTTGTAAAATTGGCAGAAAGGGGCAACTCCATAACAACCAACTGGTTGGTTGCAGTTGTGTAGTAGTTAAGAAATAGTATGGCAAAGAATCTCAGGCAAGGATGTCATTGAACAGTACTCCAAATGCAAGAAATGAACAAATAAAACTTTGGTTCATATCCCTTAAAAAATTAAAAAATAAATAAAAATTAAAAAACATATTTTACAAAACTTATCTTTTTCCTGCTTACAGCCACCTACGCTACCATTCCCTGCTAGCTAGCAAAGCATTTTACAGTACAGTATTTGCAGCCATCTCTTAATGTTTCTCCAGAATTTGTCTTTTCCTGAAACTTGATAAGATGCAGATTCCCAAGCACTACCCTGGACCTGCCGAAGCTAAATCTCTAGGGCAGAGCCAGAGTGTCTGCGTTTTTGCGAGGGCCCAGATAATTTTTATCCAGGAATTTTCTCAGGCCAATGAGGAACAATTGAAGAAATTGAGACCCAGAGGGAGAAGTGAACTCCTCCAGTCATGTAGCTACCCTCTAAGTGAATGAATGCTGGTCTGCTTGAAGTCACCATCACCTTCATCACTTCAGTCAGAAATATTAGCATTCATCAGTAATCCCCTTTTATGGTTGCTCTGCTAGCATTTCACTAAGTCCAATTAAAGCAAGAGAAAAAAATCCTAATTCAGCATTGAAAGTTTTGAGATTGTTTATTTTTAAAATGCCATTGCTTCACATTGTTTACATTTGTATAGAGTTCTTCAAAGTGACATATACAATCAAGTGGAATTTAATACTAAAGCCACTTGTTAGCTATGCCTTTGGTTTTCTAGAGTGGGAGAAAGTTGTTTAAACTGTTCAAAAACTCAATTAATTTTTTTCTATCCTTTAATCAACTTTTTCTTTCCTTTAAAAACTAATTGAATGTGTGTGTGTGTTATATTTATGAGGAATTGGCTCCTGTAATTGTGGAGACCACCAAGATGTGGCACAGGCTGCTGTTGGAAAGCTGGAGGTCCAGCAGTTCAGGGAATTGAGTTTCAGCCTAAGTCCAAAGGCCTCAAAAAGCTGATGGTATAAGTCTCAGTCAAAGGGCAAGAAAAGAAATGGCTCAAAAGTCAACCAGAGAGAGAGAGCAAATTGCCCCCAACTCTGCCTTTTATTTTATTCAGGCCCTCAACAAATTAGGTGAGACCCACCCACATTGGGAAGGACTATCTGCTTTACTCAGTCCACCAACTCAAAGGCTAATCTCATTGGGAAACACCCAGAATAATGTTTAATGAAGTAACCGGATATCCCATGACCCAGCCAAGTTCACTTATAAAATTTAGCTATCACAAATCTACCTCTTGTGCCACCCACATGCATGTCCTTAAAGCACATTTAATATCCAAATAAAGATAATAACAAGGGTATTATTTCACAAAACATGACACAACTATCCTGATACAACTAAAATACTTTGTACTCAGAAAAGGAGGTAAAATCCTTGAGTGATGTTTACTCTTCTCTTTGATAACAATAACTTAAATTCTATGATATTAAACTTAATGATACTTAATACTACAGTACAAATTTAACGTCTATCATGTTACATGACAAGAGAATAAGAGAGGAAAGAAAAAAAAGATATTTTATACACAGAAATATATTTATTTGGGGGCAGGGCACAATTATAAGAGAGACTTTACCTAACAAATGCAATCAGTGTAACCTAATTTTTTGTACCCTCAATGAATCCCAAACAACAAAATATAAGAAATATGTTTATAACAAAATAAGGAGGGACTACTCAACAATTATAGTCCTTATTTCTATAACTGGTCATGTGATTGCTGGTATTTTTAACTGTCTTTTTCCACTCGCCATTCTGTATTCCCTGTGTTTTCAGCAAGCACTTCAGCTGGTCATGGTTTTGTAGCTGGTGGAGTGGCCCAACTCTTCACTCTTGAAGTGCCTGAGCCATTAGTAGTCCTGCCTGAACTGGGCCATTATCATTTTGCATTTACCTTGGTTACAGGGCATGGTAATATTAAGAGATGGCATAGTGGATCTTCAGTATTCTGAATATGCTCTTTCTTATTCCATTGTGGAGTAGCAGCCTGTCTTACTCCATTTCATGTTGCTATAAAGGATTATCTCAGGCTAAATAATTTTTAAATAAAAGAGGTTTAAGTGGTTCACAGTTCTGTGGGCTATACAAGAAGCATGGCGGCAGCACCTGCATCTGGTGAGGACCTCAGGTTATTTCCACTCACGTTGAAAGGTGAAGGGCAGTTGGCAGGTGCAGAGATGACATGGTGAGAGAGGAGTTAAGGATGGGGGATAAGGTACGGGGCTCTTTTTAACAATCAATTCTGGTGAGAATGAATGGTGCCAGAACTCACTACTCCCTGCCCCATGAAGGGCATGAATCTATGCACAAGAGATCTGTGGATCCCAAACACTTCCCACTAGGCCCCACCTTCAACATTGGGGATCAGATTTCAACTTTCAACTTGGAGGAGACAAATATCCAAACTGTATAGCACAATTTTCCCTTGGTCGTGAGGATCAGTCACCCTGCCTGGCACAGTACTTCCTTTCTTTGCATCTTGATTCAGAGGCACAAGGACTCCAAAGTGGCTGCATAGCAGTCTAAACTTCCAGCTCAATGGAATTATTATTGTATCCCCTGATGGAAGCATTCCTCCCTCTGCAACTAAAACATCTGTGCTAGCTTAGCAGAAAGTCACACAAACAGAAAACAAACATTTTGCTTGTGGGTCACAGGGATTAACAGTGAATGATGCCCCTCCCATTTTTAACTCTTTGATCCCTGGACCTATGAACTCTAGCTATGAATAAAACAGCACTATATACTGGGCTGATTCAGAGCATATACAGCTTCCTGGAGAACCTTTCTCCAGCCCTGCAAGACATTGCCATCTAACTGGTGTTGTACCCAAGTTTTCAAAAGGCCATTTCTTTGCTTTACTAATAAGCTGCTTCAGAGTGGTAAAGAATGAGATAATACCAGTGAATTCTATGAGCATGGGTTCATTGCCACAGTTCTTTAGCTCTGAAGTGAATTCCTTGATCAGAAGCAGTGCTCTGTGGAATACTATGATGGTGTATAAGAATTTCTGAAAGTCTATGGATGGAAGTTTTGGCAGAGACATTGCATATAGGAAAGATAATCTGTATCCAGAGTAAGTGTCATCTCCTGTAAGAACTAACATAATATCTGGGCATCCCATGGCCTAATCAAGTTCACACATTAAAATTAACCATCACAGCCCCTTATTTTATGCTTATACCAAGGCTATGTCCAATGTTTAAGGCAACATAAATTTCAAATAATAATCTAATAATCTAATAGATCTAAAA